TAAAACCTTTGTTTTGTTTTTATTCAGCACATAATCTTCTGACGCACGGTCTAACCAGCAAGAGTTGTTTCTGCTTCAGAGGAAGAGAAAACCAGAGATGGACAGCAGTGATGAGGACTACGTAACATCTATGTCAGTGGGAATCAGTAGGAAGCCATATGTGTACACATGACCAATTTTTTTATTTGTTACAGGTCAAACTTTGACTCAGGAACAGGTTTCGGCGCAGCAAAATAAAACCAAAACATTCTGTTTTTACTGTGTAATCCTTTATTTAACCCTCCCACTGTCTTTATGGGGCCCCACAAGGAAAGTTGACCACTGAGCAGGATTGATGGTTTATCCCTTGAGGTCGAAGTGGCAGCGGCTAAAACTGACGAAGTGTGACCACGTGCTGTACCAGAGCAGAGATTTCACCAAATTGTGACCTTTACCTTCTTGCATTTCAACCTTCCCCTCACCCACATCCTAACCTTAACCCACCTGCGAATGCAAAACTTTGATCCTAGTTGTTCTTATCAAACACGCTTAACAGGGAATCTAGAACGAGAAACTGGGTTAAGGTTAGGATGGGGGTGAGGGGAAGGTTGAATGTTGGTGGAATCCCCGTTTTACTGCGAGCGTCAGAAAGTGACGCTCTGGCACAGCGTCGGGGCTCCCAATGCGTCAGAAACAAACGCTTGGTCACCCTTCGTCAGTTTTAGCCGCTCCGGGTGTGAGAATGTGTTGCGTAAGCATAACGTTATGCATTCTCATTAGAATGAGTTCATGTTGGTGTTCTCTGAGCAATCAGCTCCTTCTGCTTGCCAGCAGGAAATATTACTGCTAGGAGAAAAACAAACAGCAGGAATGGGACAAAAAAAAACAAGCATTATGTTGCTTAACTAAACCAAAACCACAAGTTGTGAACAGGCATCAGCGCCGTTACACTCTGGAGCTCGTACAAAGCTTTGCATATGAATTAAAAAGCATTCAGCGAGCATGAACATAAAGTTGATGTTACACACACATTCATACACACGTGGGGGCTTTAATGCAGAGTGGAAGCATGACAGGTTGAAGGTAAGTGTTTATCTGCTTCAGACAAGCTGCTCCGAGATCGATGTGTGGGCTCAGAGGGAAGGGGGTCGGTCTGTCGGTCAGAGTAAGTGCACACTCACCTCAGCCAACGAGGCTGAAGCAAAAGTCCTTAAAACCACAATCACATCAGAACAGAACCTGCTCATGGGCCAACCAGAGGATCAGCACATTATGAAGAATCACCTCATTATTAGTAACAGTCACTGAACAATCATTAGAAGCAGAATTGGAAATGAGCAGATCTATTGGACTGATTAGACCCATGCATTATAAGGCATCAAGCAAATATCTTACTGACATCACACAGCTTTATAACAGTGATACACATACAACTGCTGGTCAAAAGAAAGGGAAACATTCTGCTTTTTATTTTCCATCATTCAGATTAAGTGTATTAAAGAAGAAACACGGTCCACCCAACACCACCCTTTAAAGGAATTGGGAATGTCATGGGGTGAGCAGATCGATGTCTGCAATCCTGTTGTACCTATTGATCTGCAGATGGGGAAAAGAAATTGATTTTCTGAGGTAGACAATGCAGGCATATTTCATTTTCCCAATGCAAAGCCATTCCACACAGGGGTAGCAGGGGTAATTTGGTCCAATTGGACCCCAGCCTCAGCCAATTGTACAGTGTCAGATGGGCTGACCCATCCATCATGCTCTTCCTGCCTGTCTCACCATCATGGTACTTACACTGTCATTGGTGTGATGTGCCCGCTCAGTGATGGATAGCAGACAACATGCACTGTGACAACAGAGAGATCAGTCTGCACCACTCTCAGGCTTCTTGTTTCCATGCAGCTCGGGACTCATCATCTGGAGCCGGTCACTTTAATACCCTGGCCACTGTATGGGGCCCACATGGACAATTTTGCTCAATATGCACAGTAAATGTTGCTTCCCTTACCCCTCTTCAAGGTCCTCTTTGACAAAGAAGTACGGTATCAACAATGCCTGTCTAAAACAAACTCAGTCACTGAACAAAAGTAGCAAAAGTACAAGAGGTAATGAGATGGGCTGATCGCAGTGACCAATGATACGGTGTACCTCTCTTTTTCTCAGAGTGTCAAGTGCTAAACAGTTACTGATGTGATGCTTGCCAGGTCAGTCTCTGATATGATAAACAGATGTCCATCATAAATAAAATAAAATACAATAAACAAAATATGTCTGCGTGAGAAAATACAAAGAAGGCCTTCAAAAAAGGAATCTGTTGGCCGGCAAGGTGAGTAAGAATCAGCAGTTTCATGTTTCCACGATGAAGGTTCTGACCAGAGAAACAGAAAGTCAGCCAGTGGCCATGGGAGTTCTGCAGGGACGAATGCAAGTCCGTGGCCCGCATCACTATAGTGTCCTGATGGCTACGGGATACAGCAGGGACATGTGTTCAGCACCTTTGATGGGCAGCTTGCGGCTTGAGTAGAAGTGGATGATCTCAGGCACGCTGTCGAATGGGCAGCTGTTCTGGCCCAGGATGTACTTGTTCTCCTTCGTCCGAGCTAGCTTCATGTGCATGAAGCCCTGGCTACTCCTGGAGATGGAAGGAGGGGAAAAGAAATGTTTACAGAAGATAAATGACCTTTCTGAGTCAGAAGACTCCTAAGTTCTTTATACTACAATGAATCATTCATCCATTCACACACACATTCACACACTAGTGGTGACGAGCTACATGTAGCCACAGCTGCCCTAGGGAGTACTGACAGAAGTGAGGCTGCTGTAAACGGCCGTCACCAGTCCCTCCCAACACCATCAGCAGGTAAGGAGGGTGACGTTTGTGGCCCAAGGACACGACAGACACGACTGCCTAAAGCCGAATTTATGCTTCTCTCTGCGTCGGAGCGGAGGCATGCGATGATACTATCCATTGTTGCGAGGGTTCTCCAGCAGGCTTGTAAGGACGGATGGCGTTAAACCAACTTTTCTAAAGATCTGTCGAACGAGACAGAGAACGCAAGCTTGTGATTGGTCGGGACACTGCTTCCTTTAACTTTGTCAACATCACCACCCTTGTCCCCTCCAAAGCAACAAAAATAGAGCCAAAGATACGGAGCAGCTTGAATACCTTGCAGATAAACTTTGAAATATGAGCTTTTATTCACCCATGACTTGAGCATAAGAATACGCAGTAAGCATTTTATTTGTGGAGGAAATGATGAGAAGCGTGGGTTTAGACGTGGTGAGCACATGAAGAGGTGGAGGAGAATGAGGAGCAAATGCATCCGTGTTGAAAAGTCTCTGAAATACAAAAAACCCTAAATAATCACACTATCTTAGACCAGATACATGCAACACTCCCCAGGAGACGGAGAAGTTTGAAGGCACAGCGTATCACGCAAAAGACAGTGTCATCAGCAAGGAGGACACGGGCAGTAGAGGGCGACATCGTACTCAGCTGCCCGTGGATAAATGGAAGTGACGCCACCAACACCAGCGACTCTGATGATGACTAGAGACATCAGTCAAAACATGTCGGGTAAAAAACACTTTGTTCTTTTTTCACACAGTTTAATAAAAAAAAAAAGAAATGGATTAAGAACACAAACACAGGACAATCATACAAAAGAGTTAACGCGTGTGCGTCTCACCATCCTGGAGTAAAATTAGGCTTTACAGACTGAGTTTTGAGACCCAGATAGTTTCAACGTGTTCTGAAGTCAGAAGACTCTAAACTTAAAGTATTTGTCTTAACATTTAGAGGTAGGCCTGGGCGATAAAGCGATGTAATGAATTAATTTGAATTTTTTGTTGTGGGCAATTTAAAAAAAGTTTATCGAATTTTTATGTAATAGCGCCTTTTTGGCCCCCGGAGCTTCCGTAGCGTTAGTTTCACATAACCGCGACAACAACGTCACCGCACGCACACGAAACAGCAGCAGCAGCAACTCCATGGCCACCGGTGAGGGTGGGAAGTTTGTTCCTGAGAAGGGAATGAAATCCTCCGTTGTTTGGAGCTGGTTTGGGGTTGCTGCGACCGGCGTGGCACTTTTATTCCAAGAGGGTGTTCATTTGTTCTTTATTCATCTCAGGAATGAGGGTTACATTTGTCTTGCTTGTGATTAAATAAAAAACAAAATTGGCTTCATGGTTCCTTCCTTTTGTACTTATTGCTATTCTTAATGATTGAGGAGGAGAGAGAATCGGAAAAAAATTGTACATGGAATTAAAAAATATAAAATAGATTTAATTTTTAGGCTGCATCGCCCAGCCCCACCTCTAAGGATCTCCCAGCGTCTAGCTGGTGGTAAAACTTAGAGAAACTCGGAGCTAAATACGGATTTATGTAAATCCGGATTCAAAACACAATCAGAACACTTGAGCTGAGGTATTTAAGGTGTTTGAGGATCATGTTCTGTGTGCCTCATTTTCACTTTGAACACCCATCCCTCCAAAGGCCTTTGCACGCTCCGGGATCTCATTAACAGTCCCTCCTATGGTAGTCATCTTCTCCAGCATGGACGGTGCTCTGAAAGCTGGATTAGCTCTGATAACTTTGGAGTCGCCTGGGGGGTCAGAGTAAAAGACAGTCTGCTTAAGGTGCTGAGTTTCACATGCAGAGCATGAGGATGAGACTGATGAACCCCCAAGATAAATCACTTAAGCTACAGCAATAAATGCAGAGCAAATGAAAAGCTCGCTGTGTCCAAGAAGCTTTGATCGATACGCTTTACAGCCTGCCAGAAGTCTCCAGCTTTCCAACAGAAATGCTCTTTTGGGGGTGGGGTGTTAAATAAAACAGCAGCTTCGGGGGAGGTTGGGGGCTGCTACACAAATATTCCTTTTATCCTGTAAATGTCCACTTAGGATCACTCACCTTACGATAATAGCTCTTCAATCATCTGCTCAAGCTTCTAACAGCTTCAGATTGCTTTGGGCTCAAACACATTCAGGCATGTGCTCATTTCCAGCTCAACCTGAACTTTCACCTGCTCCACACACTTTCACGTGTTCCCTCATCTGAAGGAGAACTCTGGCTTAAATAAAAACAGGGAGACAACAGGTAAGCATTACGATGTTTCACGAGTGAGTGGTCAATGCTGAGCATGGCAAATGTGTAAGGCATGACTCCTGTCATCATCATCATCATCACCACCATCACCATCACCATCACCATCATCACCACCACCACCATCATCATCATCATCATCATCATCACCACCATCACCATCATCATCACCACCACCACCATCATCATCATCATCATCATCATCACCACCATCACCATCATCATCATCACCACCACCACCACCATCATCATCACCATCATCATCATCATCACCACCATCATCATCATCATCATCATCATCACCACCATCACCATCACCATCACCATCACCATCATCACCACCACCACCATCATCATCATCATCATCACCACCATCACCATCACCATCACCATCATCACCACCACCATCATCATCATCATCATCACCATCATCATCACCACCACCACCACCACCACCATCATCATCATCATCATCACCACCACCACCACCACCACCATCATCCTCATCATCATCCTCATCATCATCATCAAAATAAACAGAAAAGAGCATTACCAAGGTTGATGAGATGTCTGCAGAAGTGCATGCACATGGCTGCAGCCTGTTACCAGTGAGGAACAGGAGTAATACTTGCCTTTAGGCATGTAAGTCTAGCCTTTGCTTATCACATGATTGGATGTGGAAGCCTGGTTGTGTTTTCTCCCCGGTGCACAAAAGAAATTAGAAAAAACAACAATGGAAATAGCAGGTAATGGGTTCAATGTAAGAGCATCTATCAAAGATAAGAATACATTAATACTGATTTAATCAGAATAAACCAGTCCTGCTTTTACGATCACTGCAATTTTCGAGATAACAGTAAAAACATCAAGAATGTGGACTCCTAAGCACTTTACATGGAAACTGATGGAAATTAATGGAAGCATTTCAAAGCTAAAAGGCTTTTTTATAGACAAGATAAGTCAGAGCACAGCAGGTTTTTGCAGAGCCATAAAACTGAAGTAAACAAAACTATCAAGACTGCTCCATTACTGCACCTCTGATTAACTGAAGTTGACTGGCAGCCAATGCATTACCCCCTCTGAGTGGGACACACTCTGGACCTTGTTTCTACCCCGAGTCTAAATGCTGACAGTGTTTGTCCTGGGGACGTTTATATTTCTCAGTTCAACGAGCACTGCCTCTCCATCCTGGACAACATCTGTCCTGTCAGAACCAGATCAGGTCCTGCAGTGAACCCTACTCCCTGGTTTAATGACAGCCTTCGCAGCCTGAAGCGCCAATGCAGAAAAATTGAGCGTTTGTGGAAGAAAACCCATCTCCACGTCCATCTGCTGCCCTAAAGGAGCTTCTGACATCCTTTAACTCTGCAGTAAGAGACGCTAGGGTTTCCTAATTCTCCAACCTGGTGTCCCAGAGCAAAGGGAACCCCAAGGTGCTGTTTAACACCATCAGCAGCATCGTCTCTCCTGCCTCTCCTACAGCCTCCATCCACTCTGTTACAGACTGTGAGAACTTTCTGTCTTTCTTTGTGGACAAAGTCAATAAGGTTAGATCTAGCATCTCTCCTTCAGGCTTATCGCCGCCTCTCCTGACTCCAACCAGGCCCATCATCCTAGATAGCTTTGCTCCTGTTTCTTTGCCTGAGTTAACCAAACTAGTTAACTCTATGAAGACCTCTGCATGCCCCCTCCACATCTTACCCTCATCTTTGTTTAAAAGTGCTTTTCAGTCCATCGGTCCCAGCGTGCTCTCTATAATTAATGCTTCTCTGGTCTCTGGTCAGGTCCCTGCTTACTTTAAGAACGCTGTAATCCACCCGCTTCTTAAAAAACCGAGTCTCGACCCCTCTCTCCATAGCAGCTTCAGACCCATCTCTAAACTTCCGTTCATCTCCAAGATCTTGGAAAAGGTTGTGGCTAAACAACTCACAGCTGCTCTTGATGAACATAACATCTATGATAGCTTCCAGTCAGGTTTTCGTAGAGCTCATTCTACTGAAACAGCTCTTCTTAGGGTCTCTAATGACCTTCTGACCCACAGTGATGCAGGGGACTGTTCTGTTCTGGTCCTGCTGGACCTGACTGCAGCCTTTGACACTGTTGACCATCACCTGCTACTGGAGAGGCTGAGAGACTGGGTAGGCCTATCAGGATCTGCTCTGGAGTGGTTCTCCTCTTATCTCTCTGAGCGCTCCTTTTCTGTGGCCGTCTCCAAGTTTAGGTCCTCCACCACCTCTCTTACCCATGGTGTCCCACAAGGTTCTGTGCTGGGGCCTCTGCTCTTCCTCCTCTGTCTGCTTCCTCTTCAGCACATCCTGAGCCCCTTAAAAGGAATCTCCTACCATCTTTATGCAGATGACATCCAACTGTACATCTCCTTTAAGCCCCATGAGATGTCTAAGCTGCAGCTGTTACACACCTGCTTAGACTCTATCAAAGCCTGGATGGTGGGAGCTTTCTTCAGCTGAATGAAGATAAGACTGAGATCCTCATCTGTGCCCCAGACAAGCTGGTTCCCAAAGTCA